GAGAAAAAAAATAGCACCTCCTATATTATGGATATTGCAATTATGTGTATTACAACTTAGATTATGTCATGATTAGTTGTTTAACCCAATCAGAAATTGCTGCTCCACTTTTGCATCTTTTAGCTTACTGTTTTGATTTTTTCTTTCTGCAACCTCGCTGTTTTGATTTGCGCTACAAATTCCTAAATATATCATTTCAAAAAACAGCACAAACTTCTACAAGCTCACTTTGCTTAACCTGCTAAGGAACAGACTGAACGCAAAAACAAAGTTAGCATCTAGCTAATTAACATCATGGAGCATTAAAGAGCCCATATTGTTATGTTTTTTGGGATTTTCTGTTTCTTTTAATGTTGTTATTTTGCTGCTTTTTTATGTCAGTCTTCAAACTTCCACGCCCCAGAAAACTCTGCTTCTTCCCTGCCTGAAAAGCCAAATTTTTAATCCAGGCTTTTCTAATGTTACTTATCTACATCACCTTGTCACACATTTACATGACACGTTTCTAGCAGCTAGTTTGGCCCTGAAACAAACAAGCTTCCACACAGTTTGTCATTATTTTCTCACCAGAGGTGCTTCTGTTAGAGCCACATCCCTACACTCCGAGATCTGGAGTTACAGTATTTCACCAACAGTACCTCACTTTTGTCAGACCAGCTGACCAATCAGAGCAGACTGAGGGGATCTTAAACAGGCAGGAGCTAAAACAAAGCATTTCAAACCCAGTGTGAGAGAAATCATGTAGTTTCTGAACATTAAAGCGTGTAAACTTATTCCGTTAGACCCCAAAAATAAAAATATAAAGCTGTAAATGTGCGTGATGTGGGCTCTTTAAGCAGCTAATTAGCCAGATAGGTTTCCAAACCAGAACTAGAAGGAGGGTTGATGCTGTGTTTACATTCAGCCAGTGGATGTAGACAGAACTCTAAATCAATACTGATCTTCCTCTCTGTCTGTGGTGTATAAATAAGCAAACGCTTGCTAATATATTAGTCACATCAACCTAAAAAATGATCCGTCAGCAGGTTTATAATGCTGCTGCCAAGTAGTTAAAAAATCAGCAAGAGGAGCTTTAAGAAGTACAGAAATACAAAGAACTGGTTCAACTAAGCACAAAATAAAAATAACAGTGTACCAAGTGAAGATGTGTAAACAATGTGGTCTGATCCACTTTACTGTTTTGGTTCAACCTCAGACTTATTTTTTAGCAGGTTTACCACTGTTTAAAAAAAAAAAACAGACTGTACGCGACCTGTCCAACACTAAACAATGAATATTGTGGAGCAAGTAGCTTCTAAAGAAAAGATATGTATTTGTGGTTTTGTTTTGTTTTTTGGCCAAGATAGAGCCCAAAACAGAGCTAAATGGAAGTAAACATTAGCATCTAAGTAAATGCTTATGTTGATTTGTGTCTGCTTGATTCCAAAATCAGTCACTGTTAGTTAAAATGTTCCCTTTGAGAGGTCAAAATAATGGGCAAAAAAAATCTGCTAATGCAGCTTTAAAAAGATATCCAGGGGTGGAAATGCAGGATACATTTTAATGTTTTATTTTATTTTTTTTAAACTTAAGAGATTCCTTAAAAAAGTGTAATTCAGCTCAGCTGTTCATCGTTTAGTCCTGCAAATATCAGCGCAAGCAGGATCTCTTGACATTTGGAGGCTTATGAAATATTCAAATGACGAAGGTACTTCCAAGTTCATTCGTCTTTAGTTTACAAATTTATGCTCCCAGTGGTCACTGAATATGAGCAAACAAAAGCCACAGAGGTCACACAAAGTTTAAGTTTTTCAGTGATTCCTCTGCTTACATCTTCCATGTTGATGATGTTGAATATATAGTTTGTGTCCACCTAACCAGGACTGAGTTATTATTGTGGAATTAACAGAAAAGATAGGAAATGTTTTCTCTAATAATGAACCGACATGGAATATCTCGCCAGTTTATTTTCTTTTCCTTGATGAAGGCTGAAAGGCCTCTTTTGTTTACACAAGTCCTCAGAGAGCCGCCGCGCTCAGCTTACATTACCCATCGGCTCTGAGAGTTTTCACCAGAGAGGTCAAGTGGAAGGTTATATCTAATGAATCGCTCGGCTTCTCGCTGCCACCCACAGGGTTCGCGGTTTCTAGTCGATGACGGGCCGAGCAGGGGCTCAGCGGTCATCCGCAGAGTTACGGCATTAACCTCCGATCCTGTGTGCATGTAGTGCAGAAATACAGTAATGACATGGATGCCTTGGACTGACCACACACGGAGGAGCTTTAAGTTTTAGCCGCTAAGAAAAAACTAATCCGCAGAGTTGACTAAATTGTGAGCAGTAGAGGTGAGTCGTGGACTTCGGCATCACTGGACAAAAACGCATCGAGCTGGAGTGTAATCCAGTTTTGCAACGACCTTCTGCATCTGCAGAGGCCAAAGAATCGAATTATGTTGCTTTAATCCGAGTCACGCTCACATCTCCAACAGTTGTTGCAGGGTTTGGGTTTGTTTTTAGTATTTGGTTTTACAGTTCAGTCATGCTATTCGTCTGAGGAATCACAAAAGATAGAAAGTATTTTAGTGACTTTAAAGAGCAACTTGTCGGACCTCAGTGAAATATTGTGCCCATACATGCACTACAGTAACATTTACAGTTGTATTAGAATTCCAGATTAACAAAAAGAAACATGGATTTTAACAGCAGTTTGACACTGAAGAGGCTGCGAATATACATTCACACACTGATGACAGAAGGCAGGTTTATAATTATGAACCTGCTGGGTGTCAGAGAGACACACAAGGACTAGAAGAAATAATGAGCATCAGTAGGAAATTCATGATTGGTGTGAGAAGAAGCAGTGGAGAACAGGACAGGTGTCTTTGGAGGATGAACAAGGATCAATAGCTTTAGTTTGCAAACACCTGTCAGAATGTAACGCAGCTAGTATTGGCTATTTAACACCGGCAGGAATATTCATTTGTACCATAACAGAAGCTAATGCGCTGGGATTAATTGGTATCAGCCAAGTCTCACTTGTGTACATAAGATAAGGTAAAATAGGCCTTATCTTACATAAATGAATGGGAAATATATATGAGAATAGGAAATATATATGAGCACTGTTAATTATGTGCATATTCTTCTATATGTTGATATTCAGATATTGCACAGATTCCTTTGAATTTGGAAAAATAATAGTATTGCATGATATTTTATTCTATATGTATAAAAACATGAGTGTTGCACAGATTCTTCCATGAGTATAAAATACAAACATAAAGCAACACATTATAGAGAGTGAGGTGGGACAGAGCTGGCTAATTTAGAAGTTTGCAAACATTAAAAAAAAAACACACACAATTTGCACAATTTCTGTTTTCTTTGGGATGAATCTCTGATGGATCTGTGATCATTTCTACCACCGGAACCAGAAGCTGCTGCTGAAGGTGGAACTGATGCATCTGTGCGCGCCGAAAGAACCAAACCAGTTGTCAGACATCCCATCTGCAACTCCATCATATCTCTTGCTTCAAACGAGCGCCGCACACAGCCACACGATTCATTACAGATACAGCAGTGAGCTACCAACTCTTCATCTGTAACAAAATGCATGAAAACTGCTTCTGTGGTCAGAAAAGAAAAATGCAACCTGCACAAACAAAACAATTAACTGAGTTGAAAAGGAGACAACTCCCTTATGTGACATAATATGATGTTGGTTAAAGAAACCAAATTCCTGCCTTTATGTCTCATAAAACATCTAAAATTGTGCATTAACTTTTCAAATCATCATTTACAAGAACTGTTAGATATAATTTAAGCGAAATATTCAACCTCCAAGTTGCTATTTAATATTTACCATGTTCACTAGTGGGCTGCACGGTGGCGCAGTGGTTAGCACTGTTACCTCGCAGCAAGAAGGTCGCCAGTTCACATCCCCACCCGGGATCTTTCTGGGTGGAGTTTGCATGTTCTCTCCATGCAGCGTGGGTTCTCTCCAGGTTCTCTGGCTTTCTCCCACAGTCCAAAAACATGTTGAGGTTGATTGGTGATTCTAAATTGTCCGTAGGTGTGAATGTGAGTGTGCTTGGTTGTTTGTCTCTAAGTGTAGCCCTGTCCAGACCTGTCCAGGGTGTCCTCTGCCTTTGCCCTAAGTCTTCAGCCCCCCGCGACCCTAGTGAGGATTAAGCAGTGTATAGATCATAGATGGATGGATGCTCACTAGTTTAGTTACCCATGTTAGCATGCCAAGGAGCATTGAAGTTTTGGACAAATTAAAATTCAGATCGAGGTGCGAGATGAGCATAATGGGATCATCAAAGTTATTACAAACATTACATTTGATAGTAAGTCAGTGAGGATATGAACCCACAGCACCTCAAACAGAGTTTCATCAGTTTATTCAGCTTCAAGGTGACACTCATATCCATTAAGTTTGAGGAAACACTTAATCCTGTTTTTAGGGGATATAGAATTATAGCACGGCAGATCTGCATATGGACACAGCAGGGAGGTGCTGCAAAGTGAAGTTGTGAAGGAGAAAGTTCTGTACCGTAGTTGGAGGATCCGCATCCAAGACACATGTGTCAGGATGCATCCGGTGTGTGAAAGTTTCTGAGAGCAGATAAAAAAGCTCTGCAAGGGAAAAGACGACTTCACCTTCAGGGTTGCATTAATTTTTGTATCTTGAGGAGAAACCGCAGGCTGAAGAACATCCTTATAGTGCGGATGGTTGTGTACATGAATACACAGAGCTGTGCTGACATTTGCAAAAGTAGAGCCAAAAGAACTGGACGAGAATAGGAAATCGAAATTCACTTACTTACCTCGGGTAATCAATGTCTGCTGATTGTAAGTGCAAATAATTCTTTGTCATTGTGTCCTCAGGTTACACTATCCGTCTTCATTATCCTGCCATGCAAAAAGCCATATTCATTAAACATGGTCTCTAATCACCAATGAACAGAGGACCTTATTATAAAAGAATACATACTTTACACCTTTTTCTGTTTCCTTCCAGTTCTTCCCTTACGGTGATGCATCCAAGTTCGCCCAGCACGCCTTCAGGACCTTCGACAAGAACGGCGACGGCACCATCGACTTCAGAGAGTTCATCTGCGCGCTGTCCATCACATCACGAGGAAGTTTTGAGCAGAAACTCAACTGGGCCTTCAACATGTACGACCTGGATGGAGACGGCAAGATCACACGGGTGGAGATGCTGGAGATCATCGAGGTACCACGGCAACGAACAATGTCATAATAATCTCACTAGAGGAAGGTGTAGGGCTAGGCTAAGCTAACCTGCTGCAGGCCACAGCTTCATATTTGACAAGCTGGTATGAAAATGGGATCAACATCTTTAATTTACTCTCAAGAAGAAAGCAAAAACGTGCTTCTGGAAGTGGCTGCGATAGACGAGCCTGAGCCGCGTTACCTTGTTTGCTTTTTAACTTGCTGAGTCACGAGGATGTAGCACTTATGAATTTTTGATCTCAGTTAAAGGTTATACAGCAGAGGACTGAGTCTGCAGGGCCTGACAAGACACTAATTATTCATAAATTCAAACAATATGCAACAGGAGGCAAACGCGCTTGTTTAGAGCAGACTCATCTGGAATTCATTGTACTTCTGTTGCTCGAGGAAATCAGCTGCGTGTCCCCTCTCTGTGTGGGTACATCCCAGTTCCCTTTTTGAATCACTCCTCAGTCCTTGTGTGATTTGGAATGGATCCAAGTCAGACAGATTTTTATATTTGTGATCCATCATTTCCCCTTTGAATGTGTCTCATGGATAATATTACATCCTTAAAAAGGCACGAACACTTCGTGTGTCGGTGTTCGAGGAATGACGTCCATTTGCAGACTGTGACTTGAAGTGTCTGTGTGTGCTGTAAGTCCAGAATAATGTTTGTAAATGCTTTAATATACAGAGAGTCATATCTCACACATGTAAGAGGACATCAGTGACAGAACCCATAAGTGCAGGCTGTACATATTGGGTGTTGTAGTTATTTTTCTGACTGTGCTGCACAATTTGTCTAAAAGGACAAACTCTGAGGCATCAAAAGACATTAGACTGCTCAAGCTGTTACCTTCTGATTCCTTGCGTCTTAGCTCCACATTAGAGGTTACTAAAGCCTACTTTCTCCTCGCTGCTTGTTTCCAGGTGCATTTAAAGAGTTTAGAAGATCCATGTTGGCGCTGGAAGAAAAATTTATGGGTCACAGGAGGAAGCATAAGTTAGCGTAGTGAAAAATTCAGTTTAATTCCTTTCAGTTTTTATTCCGTTTTTACGCCAATCCACCATATAAGTCATGTCAGGGCACATCACTTGGTAAGGTCAAGACTTTATTATGTTTATAACATGGAGAGAAACCCAACAAATCCAACTGCAGAACCAGGTTTAGGGAGAGCAGCCATCTGGCTTGACTGGTCGGGGTGAGGGAAAGAAAATGAAGTCCGACAGAAATGGATGGCACGTAAAAGAATAAATACTTTGGAGGTGGATAACCAGTACCTGCAGAGAGAAAGCACAAACTATAGAGGAGATGTTGAGATGTAATGGTGGTATGAATGAATGGAGAGAAGAGAAGAGGTGCTCAGTGCATCATGGGAGGTCCACCAGCAGTCCAGGTCTATACCAGCATAAGTAAGGGATTGTTCAGGGTCCCCTGAGCAGCCCTAACTATAAGTCGTATCAAAAAGCAAAATTTTAAGCCCAATCCTAAAAGTAAAGGGGTGTCTGCCTCTTCAACCCAAACTGGGAGCTGATTTCACAACAGAGGAGCTGATAATTGAGCATTCTAGTTCTGGAAACTCTGGAAAACCACAACTAAACCTGCAGTCTGAGAGCGAAGGGCTCTGTTAGGATGATACGGGACAAGAAGGTCTTTAAGATAAGATGGAGCTCGGTTATTAAGAGTTTTTTTTATGTGAGGAGAAGGATTTTAAATTCAATTTTGGATTTTACAGGGAGCCAAAGAAGAGACACTAATACAGGAGAAATATGATCTCTTACTGGTTCCTGTCAGAACTCGGCTGCAGCATTTTGAGTTATTGGGGCATTCTGATAATAAGGAGTCACTGCAGGCCAGACTAGAAGTTACAGTTGCATGGACTAGTTTTTCAGCATCACTATGAGATAGGATGTTGACAGTGTTACACAGGTGAAAGAAGACCATCCTACAGAGTGTTTTATGTGTGAGTTAAAGGACATATCTTGGTCCAAAATAACTTTCCTCGCAGGATAGCTAAAGGCCAAGGTGATGCTATCCAGAGCAACTGCATGGCTAGATATTAACTACTTCAGTTTGATCTGACGTTAGAAGAGGAAAATCTCAGGTCATCCAGGCCTCCATGTCCTTACGTTATGCTTGAAACACCCAATGTCTAATTTCATGTTTCCTCAATTCGTCTTTCATTGCATCTCTCAGGAAACGCAAAGAGAAAAGAGGTAACATCCGTTGCCTTCTCTCTCCCTCTGCAGGCGATCTACAAGATGGTTGGCACAGTGATCATGATGAAGATGAATGAGGATGGCCTGACGCCCGAGCAGAGGGTGGACAAGATCTTCTCCAAGATGGATAAGAACAACGACGACCAGATCTCGCTGGAGGAGTTCAAAGAGGCGGCCAAGAGCGACCCGTCCATCGTATTACTGCTGCAGTGTGACCTCCAGAAATAGGCCGGAGGGCGAGCGGAGCGCCGCACCAGCCGCCACGGACTGCACAGAAAGAATTTCATGTTCCATTCAGTTTGCAGCTATTTCCACTGAAAAAAAAAAATGCTTGGACTACCTTTCAATGGATCTGCTTCTTGTGTTTGAAACACTTGTGTGCATGAGAATGTTATTTGCTATAAAATCAAGATCTACACACAACATATGACAAAGTGTGCGGGTGCAACAGTGCGGGTGCGCACCACAGACACACTCACAGTACATACAAAACACACACACACACACACACAGACACACACACCTCTCACACACCTCGCACAAATAATATTATATAGAAATATAAATATGAATATATATTTAAATTATTTAAAGATCAACTGCCAAAATGTGAAGTGTGCAAAGTATTTTCCATAAAGTTTCATTCTACTGGAGCTTGCGCATCAGTGATGTGCTACGTTGAATTTGCCGCTACTCTATTTATTGTTCCGAGTTTACTGACGCTAGCTGTATGTGTTTCATAATACCGAGTAATGTCGACCGAACCAAAATTCCTATGATAATGTATCTGCCTCCAATAAGACACTCTATCCATCATCTCGAATATTAGCTCTAGAAGAGATGGATTGTCCAACTTTTTCCTTCCAAAACATGCTTGTACTGTCAGTAAAGAAATCTGTAAATGTAGTTAATTTGCATGCCTTTAGGTTTCTGCCTTAAAAGACTCCTCAGTTTGCATCCTGTAATCGAAGACAGAAAGCCTTATCAGAGCAGCGCGGTGACACTTTTAAGGGGGGGAGACCGTGAGATCATTTTTACTGACTGTATAGGGAGGAGAGAGAAAAAATCACACTGCAGGAGGCCCTTCAGCGCGTACCGTCGTACGGGATGTAATTTTTGTGATCTGTCGAGACGTTTTCTTTTGACTGCTTTAACTGTGGGAGCATGTTTCCTCGTAGATTAGCTGTGGTATATGTTGCTAAGAACTAAATCCTTGCCCCATGTGCATTTAAACACACCCTCTCGCTCATCACAAACGTTCAAATGTTGGAGGAATCGATCTTCTTTTTTTTTTTTTTGGCGCTAAATTGATTCATTTGTGAAACAAATGAAGCGGAGGCAACATTCAAATCAGGATTCCCCCACAGAATGAATCAAGCTGGAGTTTAATTAGCAGGTAGTCGGAGAGCATCACATCCACTGTTTTTTTCACTTAGGGTTGCATATCATTACAATGAATTCAGAGGAGTTTTTTTTTTGTTTTGTTTGTTGGTTTTTTTTAAGACACTTGGAGCGTTAAGGAAGAGCATTTTCTTGCTTGTCTTTTTCAGTGGAAGTCAGTGAAAGCAGCGAGAGGAGCAGTGATTTCATTAGAGCTACTAGAGGACAGTCCTTACTGTAAAGCCATGTGTTCAGTAGGTTTCGCCCCTTTTTTCAACCCTCCAAAGTATTTCTCTCTCTTTACCAATCAGTCGATCTTTTTGTACTTTTTTACTCCCGTCTCTCACACATTGTACACGTACTTAAATGTAGAGAAGTTCAGCGACGCGTGGAACCACCTGAGGACGATTTAGAAAACAGCCCACCTGTATCTCTTTAAATCAACCCGCATCAACACTCGCCGTGTTTTACGAGGATGAAGTCATAATATACAGTACTGCAATAAAGATCTCTCACACCAGTCCATCGTCATCTCTCAGCAGTGTGGCTTGTCCCCCCCTCCCCCCAGTCAAGTTTGTAATCTGAACTTCTTTACATGAACATCTTTGGCCAGTTTCTAATTACAACTCTGTTATTACTATTATTGCTATCAAGATACCAAATGTAAGCAATGGCAACCGTGTACAAGGATTCTTTTGTAGCATGTATTGTGTCCCTGACGACATGGCTGCACTACTCCCTGTGTTGTGATTTAATCTAATAAAAGGAACTCTATGGGCTGTTGTCTCGTCTCATACCTTATCGAGCCATCTTTAAATCTGCACCCACACGCCTGGTTCTCAGCTTTTTATGCGATGTAGCCCCACATTTCTATCAGATCAGCTTAATAACACTAATACCGGTAACTTTATCACATATAGCACTTTTAAAAATCACCAAACAAAACAAAATTAATGTGAAATTAAAGTTAAAGCTAAAACAAGAAGATGGAATATGGGGAAATTAAATAATATAAAATTAAATCAATAAAATAATATCTACAGATAATTTAAAAATTAATACAAATAAATAAAATAATACAAATAAAAAGCAACAAATCCCTAAAAGGTAATAAAAAAAAACATCACACAAGATGCAATATGTCAGTATTATTAAAAGCACAATAATAAAAGCAATGAACCATTAAAAAGTCATAAAAAAAGACAAATTATCACAAAAGCAAGTCTATCAAAATTAAGAAGTGATTTAATAGCCTCACCTGAGGGTCTAATATCCTAAACTGGCTCATGTGGGAACCAATATTTCTGCTGTATAGCTCAGGGCCAGACCCAGACAAGCTTCAGTAAAATCTTACGATCAATTATAAAATGAACAGAGAGCCGAGAGGAAGAAGCCGGGATTTGGGTGATGTGAGGTCGTCCGCTAAAAACAGCTACAAGCTGAGCTGCTGGATTCTGAGGTAGTTGGAGGTGAGAGTTAATGCCAGAAAAGAAGGAGTTACAGGAGTCCAGAGTGGAATAAAAGGGAACAAAAACATCAACGCAGCCTGCAAAGTGATTAGAAACAGGTTACATTCAGCCGATTGTGCACAAAAAGTGTGTGAGATGTTCAACTAGGTGATGAATTCTTGACCATTGAGTGAATCCACACCTTGATCAGGTGAAGCTCTAAAGGCCAGTGATCAGATAGTGTGACTTTAAACCTGAGACAAGAAATACTGCTTTATTCAAATGACTCAATGCCACAGATGACTAGAGAAAGACAAGAACAGACACTTCAATGTCCAGTTTATCCAATGCTTCAACCTTTTCCCCTAATCATGACTAAATATTTTCATTGTTTCATTGAAATGTTGTTTTTATCTCATTATTTTAACTGACTTGAATAGATTTTTGGATAATTATGTCAACTGCTTAGCCACTGAATTTGTGTCATCTTTTCAAATTTGCTCATTCATGGCTGCAAGGTGACTCAGTGGTTAGCACTGTTGCCTCATAGCTGGAAGGTCACTAGTTTGTGTCCTGGTGCTCTTTCTGCGTGGAGTTTGCATGTTCTCCTTGTGCAGCGTGGGTTCTCTGGCTTCCTCCCACAGTCTAAAAACATGTTGAGGTTAATTGGTGATTCTAAATTGTCCGTAGGTGTGAATGTGAGTGTGCTTGGTTGTCTGTCTCTAAGTGTAGCCCTGTGATAGACTGGTGACCTGTCCAGGGTGTCCCCTGCCTTCACCCTGAGTCAGCTGGGATAGACTCCAGCCCCCCACGACCCTAGTGAGGATTAAGCGGTGTATAGATAATGGATGGATGTTTAGACAGTCACTTTGACTTCCCTGTTTGCCAACCAGTTTTCATGCAAACTTCATGGAAAATGATGTCTTTGAGGTGTTACAGCTAATTAATCTTGGGTGAAAGAGTGTGTGTAGCTGCCTGGTGTCCTGACAAAATGCTTTATACATGGTTTATTAGATCTTGATCTCAAATCTGTGGAAAACTGTTTTCAGCAAATATTCTTTTAAAATCGGCTGAGTTACTCCACAATCTTGTAATGTTGTCTTGTAATTGGTAGAGAATTACTGGCATAGACTCGAGATTGTCGACTGCTTATTGGATATTAGTAGGTTTATAAAGAGTCACTCACACAACACATTTGCTCAAATATTAGACTAAAGAACCAAGGAGTAGAAATCTGTTAAAAACGGCTCTTTAAATGAAAACATTCAAATTCTGTGAAGACATGAGCACGAGTTATACTAATCCAAAATGACATCATTCACAGTTTACTAAAAGTCAAAGCACTAAACCTGTTTTCTCTGCTTGATCATCCCAAAGATAAACCATCATATAAACTATTATTAGCATTTAAGACAAGAAAAAATCATGTATCTTCAGAAGCATGAAGGTTGTACCGAAGTGTCGCATTTATTTATTTTTTTTGGCCAATCCATATATACTACTTTTGATACTTATAGTACATTTTCCTGAAACATTTTTGCAATGTCACCATTAGGTTGACACTTTCGGAATTGCTGAGCTGTTCCATACACTGGATACATCTGTCTGCAAAGATACAACATACACAGTTGGAGACATTTAATCCTGTTTCTTCTGTTTTCTTTTGACAAATATAGGAAACTTTTTTCTTTTTAAAGGTTGCACTAATCCACTGCCTGTATTTCTGCAGTAGTGTACCGACACAACCACCAGATGTCACTGCTGAGACATACTTTCAATTATTATATAAATGCGTTTTTTTGGGTAATTTATCACAAAAATATGTTTGTTTTTCTGTTTGATTTCCACTGATGGAAACGGTAATATATGAGAAAGCAGTGCATCTATACAGAGAGGCTTTTCGGAGGAAATGCCTCAGAAAGCCTGCAGTGTTTACCCATAACTCTCTGGCACAGTACCACTGATTGCACAGGGTTCACACAGAGGCCTGCGTCCTCACATACATATACAGCAGTCATCCCACTAAAACCCCAGAGACTGCATCACGAGTTATTTACAGCTGCAGGCAAACTCAGCAGTGGACGACCCCCTAACCCGCCTGTAAATAAGCAAAATGCACATTCTATTGATCTAAACGGGTTCACAAGGAGGACAGAGCTTCTGTTACATGACATCTACAGTCTGCAAAAACAGGAGGAGAGGCAAGTTTTAGGAAAAAGAACATTTATTTTACAGACATTATACCCTTTACATAGCTGGTTCTGCTCAACTCAAGCTCAAATCACATGCTGAAGAAACGGTTTAAATTAAAAGTTTGTGGGGGGAAGAAGGCAGTAAAGAAATCTGACGTGGCAGATTTTAAGGATGCTGACGAGGCTGAAAACTACAACCATGTCATTATTCTGCACCCTGTTTTCTGCTGAAGAGTTTGTTCCGCCTGTCAGTCACTTTCTGACAGGAACACATCAATATTTGAAGTCCTGAAAATCAAACTGACAAGCGAATTTTAAGAAGCACCATTCTGTGGCTGCACACAGCACAGCCCTCCTGCTAAAATACAGCCAGATTCCCTAGAAGGTTCAGATGTATCTTTGAATGGAAGTTACAGAATAAAAAATAAAAATCTAACACAACCAAGTGATTAAAAAGAACGTTGTGACATTTGTACAGATAAAGAAAACTGTGTGGAAGTGGAAAGGTGGGGGTTTCAGGGAGTCTACTTCGGAGGGTCTGTGTTGATCCCATATTTCTCTTTCAGAAGCTTCAACTGCTCCTCTTTCTTCTTTGTGTCCATTTTCTGGAAAGCCTGAAAAAAAGAGTTGATAAAATGGAGAAAATTAGATTTAAAATTATTGCAGGAAATTGGGTTTGTATTTTTGTCTGATAGTTACAGCAGCTTGCTCCATGTGTACCCAAACCGTTTCTGTATGCTTCTGCTCATACGTACTCTGTTTGCATTGTAGTAGAGGACGACCAGGTAGCGATTGCAGACGTTGAAGCCTGACAGATGGTCACAGGCGTTCTTGGCATCGAAAATGTCTTCATACACCACGTAGGCTGTTCCTCTCGTTTCAGGTGTGTTCCCGCTGAGAGGAGAAAAAAAAGAAAATACACGGGGGAGTGAGTACAAGACCAACAAGACCAATCTGTGCAGAGTTACCGAAAGTGTAGAAGAAAATATTAAGGATTTTATAGGTAATGTAGTCATGAGACGTTGATCATTCCTGATCCACAACTCTGGCTCTTAAAAGAAGCTGAACAAATTCTTATGCGCTTTTTAAACTTTCCCTTCTTTGGTATCCCAAAACAAACTTGATCTGAATCCACCTGTCATTTTCAAGAAACAAAACCCTTCAGTGCTAACTATCTAGATGGATCACCAATCAAGTGACAAGCAGAACAGCATGTTAACCTGCAACTCCAAAACATAATGACTGGAGACTTCATTCAAAGCTAAAATATGATTGAATAAAAATGTTGTTTTCCTTCTAAATTTGACAAAGGCACTACAAAACCAAATGGAGCTCAAAAATATTATTTGTTATTTTGGTGAAAACTGGTCACAGGTGTTTTTTTTTCAGCCTGCTAAATTTATTTTAATTTCAAATCAACCCAGGCTATCCCCACATACTCCAGTGGTATCTGGGGTTAGATTCACACACACATATGCAATGTTTCAGACAGATGTTGCTGTTGCAATTTGGTCTAAAGTATAATTTTTTAGGTCAATTTACTGTTTATTATTTACTGTGTCATTGACGTAGGACACTTAGAATATCATCAAAATATTAACTGCTCTATGCCCTAATGCAAGCATGAAAACTAACATACTAATTGCTTTCAACATGTATTTATTGCAATTTTTAACTGCCACAAAATATAAAACAATCAAACAAAGAACAATTATCACAAGCTGTGACTATGTTAGGTTAAATAAATTAATAATACTAAACAAATAAAACAATGCCCCAAAAAGAACAAAAAACCTACGTATCATACACTTTAAATAAAGCAAGCTTTTTTTTTTTCTTAAGTGAATAAAAAAATCAAGAATGGGTCAGGCACACTGCATATATATCCTAAGCTGTATCCTTTGTGAATTGCTGATTTCAACTGCAGATACTGACCACATCCACACACACACAATTCTATCAACACATCAATTGTTGCCACAGCTTTGGTGCTTTCTTTGATTTATTTCACCTGTGTAAACTTCCAGAAATCTAGAGTGAAAAACTTACGTTCTGATTTGACGTATTGGTCCATATTTCCCAAAGATATCATACATTTCTTCAGCTGTGATCTTGTAAGGAAGATTCCTGACGTAAAGGATTCTGTTGACCTCTGGAGGCAGTCGTATCTGCAGCATACGAGAGATAAACATGAGTTATGAACTGCAGGTTGTTTTCACATGGAGCAGAGAGGAGGCAACAAGAGAGCAACTCAGATGAAAATTCCACACATGTGATCAAGAAAATAAATGCAACATGGCTCAAAACCAGTGTAAAGAAAGTAGCAAGCTGTCAGCAAGTTTTTGGAAGATAAACACAGCATAGTGGCATGTTCTTCGAGAGTGAATGTGTAGAATTACATGAAAGATGTGTAATTGGTAGAAATAGAACATTTATATAGTTAACTACCTATAGTGTGTGGAGCCCCCATGTTTATCCATGATTGGAAATATGCAGGGACACCAGAAAAATGTTGTTTGGTTGTAAAACAAATAATCAAAGAAGCTCTATTTTTGCATTTTCTTTGAGTTGTGGCTTCATATCTGTGTCACACTGTAAAAACGTGTCTGAATGTAATATAATAATCGAATGTAATTTCTTCAGAACACACTTCTTTGGCTACCTGACTTTACCTCTAAAAAACCGTTGCCTGACATAATATCCATAATAATACAAATCCCAATTTCACAAAGGAAATTAAGTCTTAGATCAAATAAAACTACTAACTACGCACTGATGGCCAGACGTAACGAACACATTTCAAAGCACTGGTGCTACACAGGTGTCCGTGTACATTTAAGAAAATGATTTCAGACCGCAATTGGCAAAATATATATGATCCATGAGAGTAAACGTAACCTGTCTGTAAAACCGAATCGCTTAAAAGTAAGAATACAGGCAGGAGAATTGTTTTCAACTTCTTAGCATGCTAATCAGCTAGCTGTGCGCTAACACTGAGCTACATTAGCTTCAAACCAAACTAAGCTAATATATTTCAGCTACAATCATCCCAGAATACACCAGTCGACTCGTCCATACTTACATTAGCGCGTTTCGCTGCTTGCATAGCCATGTTGAGTCTTTATTGTGAGTAAAAACAGCCGCTGAACAACAAACACGCAGTTTCCGTCTTCTTCACTGTTGACTTCAAAATGGCTACCGTCGCTCGCTGGTGACGAACATCCGGTTTGCGACAGGGCGCAAAGATTGTACTGTGCCGCCCTCAGGAAGACGGTGGTACTGCAATGATCTAGTAAATAAAGAGCAGTGCTGCCACCTGCAGGAGGACGTTAAAACTACAAATATCTCCATAAGTCCGTAAACGTGTGTTTTTAAGGATATCAAGCTGTGTAGTTTAACTAAAATTGCAATAATAATTATCATTATTCGAATAGCAGGAGTAGTGGTAGAAGTAGTAGTGAGGTAAAGCTCACAGCAAAAAGGTGTGTGGAGTTTGCATGGTCTTCATGAGCTTTCTGTGGGATCAAATCCATGGCACATTAAAAACTACAAAAATATGTACAGTTTTTAACATAAATTTTTGAACACTTTTGTTGAATTACAGATAATAACTAGTAAAATCACAGGGAAATATAGAAAAACACCCACAATCTGTAAAAGGCTGAAATAATAAAAAACGTTAAAAAATTATCATTCATTCTTTTACAGTGTTTGACCACAAAATGACACTATTTCACTGTATTTACATCAACAAAACATCTGATTGTTTTACACATGTTAGTCCTTATTTGAAATAGAAACTATGTATATCAAAGATTTCAAAATTATGAATAATTTTAACTGTCATTTTACAGATTTTTTATTTTTTTTTAGTTTTGGTAAATTGCAGATAATATACAGTAAAATTAGAGAGAAAAGCATCAATTTACATGGTAGCCATTCAAAAAACAAGGCTACAATTATACAATTATACCTAATGTCCACTGGAAAAGTCTATATTTTTCCAAACAGTAATTTAACCTTTTTTTTTGTTTTTTTTTTTTGTTTTTTTTTTAACAATGCGTGAGAATTAAATCACACAATTTTACTCTATTTTAATGAACTAAAAAAAAAAAAAAGCTATTTCTTTAACCAATAGTCTACCTACTCTACTTTAACACAGCAGTTTCAGCAAGATGAGGCAAGAATGCAGAACGTTGTTTCTAATATTGTTGTGTCCCTCAGTGGTTTAGGTAAAAAATAGAAACAGAATAAAAAAAATGCTGATTGTTGTGGCAGTGACCAGTGTTGCAGAACTAGGAGGCTGAGTATGTGACACATGATGAAATGATCATTGCCTACTTTTTCCTGGTGGCTATGCAAGACAAGACAAGTTGTGTTTTGATTAATCAAACTTCAGTCTGATATTCTCCAGTGACATAACTTCTTTGCGTTGCTTTGCTCTACAAATATACATGTCTACTGTGATGAGTGATGTGGCCAGGTTCCTTTGCTTTCATTCTGTTTGTGTGGAGAAAGGTGATGGTGCAATAACTCCTGAAGCAACACTTTCCTCATCACCCTTTCAAAAGTGACTTTGAACAAAAACACTCTTGAGCAATATATTGGACAATCATTCAAGTTCTTCATTGACAGTCAGGGTGTCACGGTATTCAGGTACCCAGGTTATGTAGAAGGTCTTCATGGAACCTCTCAGATTGAACTTAATTGTCTCAAAACTAATGCACCACCGTACTGTATGTCAATGTAATGTGCAATGTTTCATCGGTATGCACAATATTATTTTACTACTTTAGAATCATTGATAATATACATTTTTATCTTTTTATTAGTCATTTTTTAGCTTGCTTTTGTTTGTTATTGTTATATATATGAATAAATGCATTTCATAAGCATACTGCAATATCTGTGTCACACTTACTTACATTTTTCACGCATTAAAAGAAAAAAATATTTAGAGATGAAGTCTATCAAATGAAACTGAAAAACAGTTTTCAGCTCATTGTGTCCCAACGCTACAGCAGCAGCAAAGTGAAATACAAACTTCTTAAAAGCTTCATGATCAGCGTGCTTTGTCTTCAAACTGTAAGTCAAACATGTCTTGAAATACTGAGCAAATAACAAGCTTTCAGCAAGATCAAGGTCCTTTGCTGCTTGTAAGCTTTTTATTATTATTTTATCTATTTTTTTTTTTTACTCCTCTGTGACTGTCAACAGAATGTTGTTGGTTTGTGGACAAAAAAATAATTTTGGAATATCAGCTTGAAGACCAAAAAACTATGAATCTACAATGAAAATAAAAGCTGAGTGCCTCACCACATAATGAAGGTTTTTTTTTTAAAAAAAGAAGAATAAAAATAAATTATATCTAATCAGGAAGGAACTATTTGATTTCAGTTGGAGTGCAGTTATTCTGGTTTGCTAGAATTTTTCTGTGATTTTTTTGGGGTGTGGTACGGGCTGAACTGAGAACACGTTTAAAATAATAATAATAAAAAAAATAAATAAATAAATAAATAACTTTAAATGTATTGTATTTGTTGTGTTTTTTCTTGCCAGACAGTACAACAACAACAGTTCCGGGTTGCGGATGAAAAAAAAAGAAAAAAAAAAAGTCGTTGTTCGGCCGCGTGGTTCGGTCCAGCGCCCGTTAACGACCGTCAAACTTTACTAACCTCGGTTTGCTGTGGAATTTGTCGATTTTTGTACTACTAACATTTTGGGAGCAGTTTTCATCTGATACAGCTGACTCAACAACACTGGAGCCGGACTGACGTTCCGGTTACGTTTGAAAAGTTTGGGCGGTTTGAAGGTTCGCGCCGCCGCGGCAGGATCCGAGCGGCTAACGTTAAGTCGGCTAGTTGCTGTTTTTTTCTAACCCTAAACCTTCAGGTAAAGAAGCGTCGACGGGATCACCGAGGAGGAGTGAAAACGGTGAGTTAAATTGCTGGTTAGTTACTGTTACAACCACAATGCTAACTAGCCCTCATCTAGTTTAACACCTATAACGATACGTGACGTTTAACGAATGATACAATGGGCTGCGCTGCCGTTTAGTGCTAACTTAGCTAACTTAGCTAGCCATATCTGCATGTATGGGTCGCTAAACTAAACCGGTGTCGTTGATATGACAGAATGGAATCCGCTTAGATGGGATTAGAATTATGCTTAGATCTTGCATCTCATAGTCTGAAACACACACTAAAATAGTACAGAGTCTAACCCGATTTTTTGTAAAAGCTGTACTGTTTTCTGTTCTGCAACAATATATTTGTCGCACCGCCACTTTCTCTCGACGTGACTGTGGGACGTCGAGAGAACGACATCGTGACTCGGACCAACACCGATGCATTTCTTTGCCTAATCATCTAGCTGTTTAGCTTTTCCATTGTCAAAAAGCTTCTTTGTTGGGAGATATCACTAGCTTGCTAGTAAAACCTACAGCAGATATTTATGATTAAAACGTCATGAATGACTAAAACTATTAACCCTGGACGCTAAAGCCAAGTTCTAGTTATCCATGTGTCAAGTGTGTTCGTGTTAAATTATGAGTCCCTTAAACACCTGATTTCTGCCTTTCTGGTGAGTTTTTATGCACCAATTTGCACCTTTTCTGCATCAACTGATTGAGACAATGTCTCTATTAAAATAAAGGAAAACACTAAATTCAGACACAAGGTGACAATAAAAACATAATAGGCTCTGTTTGTTTCAGATGTTTGTTCTCCTTTAGATCAACTTTTCTTATTTAATATTATCCCTGTTAACATACATATAGTGTTTTTTTCCATCTCAAGTCAACAGTTTCTAATCAACAAGTTTTGATTAACCTACATTTTCTGTAGCATAAAATAGGGATCGTTCTAAAGATATTTATGAACATTTAGAGGGACGTATCAAATGCCTTCTGAGATCATTATTATTATTTATATTTATTTATTTATTTATATTTCCTTTCCCACTTTTGGCACATTTTTTTTATTTCTGCAAATCTAAAGTTGAGGCTGTGTTTGGATGACAATATCAAAACTTTGAAAAAGTATTTTATCACAGTGTGTGACTCTGGTAAAGAGCAGTGTTGTGTTTCAAGTATGGCCCATTATATATTATGAGTTTTAAAATTTTAGTCTTTGTCAGTCTACTTTAAACAGCAAAACAAAAAACTGTATTTCTTCTTTGTTCACAGATAAGCTGTTTTAGTGAAATTAACTGTGTAGATGCCTGAAGCAAGTATGTTGATGAGAGTATTTCTGTGCTGTGGTCACTTATATAATTTAGAAGCATAAATATGGGCTGATTATGACATTAAAGGTGCCGCGTAAGCCATCATTGCTGACGTACTCATGTTGACAGACAACAAATATGAATTATGGGCATTTGTAAGTGATTACAAGTGCTGTTGTTTTTTGATGTAGCATCTTTGTTCCGTAATCTATGTATTAGGTATGGGTTATTTAAATGCAGGATATGCTTTATTAAGGATATTTGCACACCTACACACACACACACACACACACACACACACACATACACTCTCTCTCACACACACACGTGCACGCACGAATAGAAACAGAAAAACCACCCCTCAGCATTGAGTTGCATGCAGTTCCTTTCATTTTGTTTTGCTATTTTTTCACACAACTGCTCTGTGCCTCATGTTTCTAGATTTGACACTGCGTCTGCTCTGATCAAGGTTTGTGCAAGCTTCGTCATCTCTGGTGAACACAAAACTGACCCAGTAAGTATTTTGACATATGGAAGCATTGACAACCTCACCTAACCAGTTCTCTGGGATAAACTCTGAAATAGTTTTTTGTAGGTATCAACCCTGATCCTAGATTTCTGAATCAGGCCCATTGATCTATGAGGATGTAGCTTGTGCTGTTTGTTGGTACTAAAGTTATTGAACTGATTATTGGGCTATGGGGCATACATACTGTGTAGGTGTGTTGTAGCATGGCAAACTGTAAATTGGATTTTGGGTTAGCTATCAGTGCTCCCATGTTTGTGGTCAGGGGTGGATGGGGGAATTTTATGACTTTAGTTAGTTGTTAATGACATGATTCTTCTGTCTGCCTTACAGTGAACACCAATATAAACTACAGTCTCAGAAAAGTTTAGACCAAGAGTAGCACTGTGCCAAAACATAAAGTAACTTAAGTTCTGTGAGCCTACAGTGTGGAGTTTAGAGTCGATAAGATTTCAATCTTGTAAAGTGATGTTAACAAACAATTCCAGAGTTGATAGTTGTAAATCAACCTTTGTAAAAATCCAGTTTGCGAATGTGCACCAAAGATTTGGTCTGTGAAGACAAGACATTGAAGCATTGGTAGAAAAGATTTGTATTTGTTAAAAGGATAGCGTGGGTAGAAAAATACGTGCCTGTGTGAACATGTGTGTATTCTAATAGCAGTTTAAAATTCCTGTTTTGTCATTTGATAAGCTGTAAAATGTATTCATCTTGTTCTCAGACTGGACGTAATCACATAATCTATATCATCACCACATTGCAACCCCATTATTCTTCATCATGCTTTGCTATTGTAGCCTGGGATGTCCCAGTCAAGTTTTTTTGACTGAGGTCTTAGTCTGAGTGACCAATTTCACTTCAAAAATGTTATCTTTGGATAGCATATCTACTTTTAAGCAGCCACTAGAGGCATGTTTTGAAGACCCTGGCTCAACATTTTATTTGCAGTGTCTTCTGAAATGCATGCTAAAATAGTTCTAGTGAGTGGCTGTGTTGTATTTATGTGCGTGTTTTCTATCTTGTGTGTTTTCCAGATAACATCTAGTGCTTACACAGCAGTGGCAGAGGTGAAGGGTCATGGGTAGCTGGAATTCATAAAACTGCCAAAATGTCTTCAATCCCAGGACTCCCTTCACGAGGATCAGATGTAACAATTAACATAACCAGGGTCCACTTGCATCCTCTTTCTGTCCTTGTGGAGTTCTGGGGAAAATTTAGCCAGGAAAGGACAGTAGATTATGAGCACCTAGCCAAAGACATTCAGTCTCCTGGAAACAGATTTCAAGAGTTGGAGGGGAATCCTGGTGACCAGTGTTTGGCTCAGGTAGATGGTACTTGGTACAGATCTCGCATAGTCTCAAGAAATGGCTCCGAATACAGTGTGTTCCTCATTGACAAAGGGATGACATCCAGCGCCACCACGAGTAAGCTGGCATGGGGTAAGAAAGACCATTTCCAACTGGCTCCTGAAGTGGAGTTTTGTGTGCTAGCTAATGTGTTACCACTCTCAGCTGAGAACAGATGGTCTCCAGTAGCTCTTGAGTTTTTGAAGTCTCTTGCTGGGACGTCTCTGACGGCACATGTTCAAGATGTACTTGTGCAGCACAGAATGTTTCTCCTGCACATCCCTTGCATAGCCAAACAAATGTATCAGATGGGACTTGCCAAGGAGCTGTCTTCAGAGTTGTTCCAAGACTTTGTACTCATGGCACTCCAGTTCCATAGTATCTCTAAAGTGTCTCCAGGGATACAGCAACCCTCCAAGGGAGCAGGTGAGCGACTACACAAGCAAGAGCTGTTCCTGTACCCAGAGCTGCCAGGAGGAACTGTGGAGACCGTCGTCGTCACAGAAGTGATAAATCCTCAGAGGATTTTTTGCCAGTTGAAAGTCTTCTCGCAAGAGTTGAAGAAACTGTCAGAACAACTCACACAAAGCTGCGAGGGCAGGATATCCAATTGTGTTATCGACCCTGAAATGGTTGGGTTTCCATGTGCCGCAAGAGGAGCCGATGGCAGGTGGTACCGTTCTGTTCTGCAACAGGTGTTTCCAACCAATAACATGGTCGAAGTATTGAATGTTGACTTTGGAACAAAACAGTTTGTTCAAGTTAAGAATGTCAAACCACTGGCTGCAGAGTTCTTCAGGATGCCAGTTGTCACTTATATCTGCTCCCTCCATGGAGTCATTGACAAAGGGGTGGAATGGACGAGCAGCCAGAATGACTACCTCAGGAGTCTCCTACTGCACAAGACAGTGATTGCCAAATTTGAGTACCAAAGTGTCTCTGAGGGTGTGCACTATGTCACACTCTATGGGGATGACAACACAATCATGAACAACTTGTTTGGTTCCAAGGAGCGCTGTTTGCTGGAATGTGACAAGACACTTGGAGATTATTCCATCCGCACCTCTGCATATGGCTGCCAGTCTCCAGCTCAACAAAACAGAAATGATAGAAAAATGCTAACTACTGCACAGGCTGTAGAGGAAAACAAAGTAGCAGCAGTAGCAGAGAAGTTGCCTGCTGTAGACCTCCCTCTAAAGTCGTCACATGTGGCAGTTGTTCAGCACATAGCCAGTCCATCAGAGTTTTGGATCCAAACACAGAGTTCCGCAAAGCAGGTGGATGAACTGATTGATGGCATGTACCACCTGTACAAAAATTCACCAAAAAAAGATGCAGTAAAAAATCCACCTGTTGGACTCTACTGTGCTGCCAAGTCAGAAGATGGTGACTTCTACAGAGCAATTGTGGCTGAAGTTTGTGAGACACAAATCAAGGTGTTTTTTGTCGATTATGGAAACACCGAAATGGTTGATGGGAGTGACATTAGGATGCTTCCTGCTGAGTTCAAAAAGCTGCCACGACTGGCACTGAAATGCAGCCTAGCTGGAGTCCGATCAAAAGAAGGGAGCTGGACTAAAAGTGCCTCAGAGTTTTTCTTCAAAGCAGTCACAGATAAATCACTAAGTGTGCATGTGATGGCAAAATATGATGACAGCTGTATTGTCCAACTAACAGATCCTGAAGCACAGGGAGAGCAGGATGTCAGTACACAGATGTGTAGTGCTGGTCTCGCTGAAAGAGCTGAGATTCAAAGCAAAGCCAAAATTGCAATACAAACTGCCATTATGCCTCCTACACAGCACCCGGTTACCAGAGACTCAGTTGTGTTTAGCAACAGTGCAATGCCTTTCCAAACCCAAAGCCCAGTTTGCTTTGTCAACAATGAACAAAGAGTTTCTACCTTTAAGGAGCAGATGTTTCCCATCGGAAGTGTCCTTGATGTCATTGTGTCTTACATTGAAAGCCCAAATGACTTCTGGTGCCAGCTAGCAAAAAATGCAGGCTACTTGAAACTGCTAATGCATGACATACAGGCTCACTACGCTGGCAGCGAGTTTCAGCCCAATGTAGAAACTGCTTGTGTTGCTCGCCATCCTGATAATGGAATGTGGTACAGGGCCCTTGTTATTCACAAACATGAAGCCCCTCAAGTGGACGTGTTGTTTGTTGACTACGGCCTAACGGACACCGTCTCTGTCTTTGACCTGAGGAGGATCCTCCCAGAATTCCTGTCTCTGCATGCTCAGGCTTTTAGATGCAGCCTGTTAAACCCCACTGACCCCACGTCTGCGATAAATGAGTGGAATGAAGAGGCAATAGCAAAGTTCCAAAAATTTGTGGAAACTGCTAACCTTGTGCTTTTGAAGTGCACCATATTTGCTGTCATGTACAGTGAGCAGAAGATTGTTTTCAACATTGTCGATCTAGAAACTCCTTTTGAGAGTGTCTGCACCAGTTTGGCCAATCTTGCCAAAAGTGCACCTCCCAAGAAACCTGCTGGACCATCTTTCCGCCTGGACACTTACTACTACTCAACACACAACGTCAAACTTGGGACAGAGGAACGGATCACAGTAACATGTGTTAATAATGTCAGTCAGTTCTACTGCCAGCTTGAAAGGAACACTGATGTGATGAAAGATCTCAAGATGAAAGTGAGCAATCTGTGCTGCCAGCTTGAAAGTGTAAAGCTTCCAGCAGTCTTTGGAACTTTGTGTTTTGCACGATACACAGATGGGCAGTGGTATAGGGGCCAGATCAAGGCCACAAAGCCAGCAATTCTGGTTAACTTTGTGGATTATGGTGACACTATTGAGGTGGACAAAAGTGACTTGCTTCCAGTTCCCAGAGAGGCAAATAACATCATGTCTGTGCCTGTGCAAGCAGTTGTGTGTGGCCTCTCTGATGTCCCTGCATATGTTCCCAGTGAGGTCAACAGTTGGTTTGAGACAAATGCAACAGAATGTAAATTCAGAGCACTTGTAGTAGCCAGAGAACCTGATGGGAAATTGCTGGTGGAGCTGTATCATGGAAACACTCAGATCAACACAAAGCTCAAGAAAATGTTTCAGGTTAAGATGTGCACAGAAAAACAAGTTGTCAACCAGGGCTGGAAAGCACTTGAGACATCAACAAATCGTTCCAAAAAAACACCAAAATCTGGCCAAACACCAGCCACAGGCATGGGAGATCAAACACAAGCACCAAAGAAGAATAACTTCTCTTCCCCAAAACCTCCACTTCAAACAAGAGATGAGAGGAAATCTACTGATGTGACTCTGCAGTCTGCACCAAAGCCCATGCGCCCTGTTTGTGAAAATGGTCAGAGGGTCAAAACTGCTCCACTAGAGCGGTACAAACCTCCACATCAAAGGCTGTCATGCGAAAGGATGACAAGTAATGGTTCTGAACCAGCTGGTGCCCATATGACACCAAAAGTAGACAAACCCACTGACACCAAGTCTGAGTCACCTGACACAGAATCCCAGAATGAAAACAATGCTGAGAAACTCCCTAAACTTTCAGACCTGCCCTCAAAATCTATCACACCTGGTATGGCAGCAGATGTTTATGTATCGCATTGCAACAGCCCATTGAGTTTCTATGTGCAGTTTCTCAGTGAAGAGGAGGAGATATTTTCCCTGGTGGAGAAGCTCAATGATCCCAAATCAGCTCTGAAAACCAATGATATCAGAGACATGCATCCAGGTGACCTTGTTCAAGCAGAGTCCACAGATGATTCCTCGTGGTACCGAGCAGTTGTAAGAGAAATGCACAGCAACTCGATGGCTCTAATTGAGTTTGTTGATTTTGGAAATACAGCAATGATGCCAATTTCCAAGATAGGCAGACTCCATAAATCCTTCTTGGAATCACCTGTTTACAGCACACACTGTATGCTGAGTGATGCTGCAGTTCTTGGAGATGAGAGAGTGCTCGATCCAGAAGTGGTGTCAGCTTTCAAAGACGACATTGGTGACAGTGCAGAAAAAGTGTTCAGGTGTCAGTTCATCAGGCAGGTGGGATCTGTGTGGGAAGTCAGTGTTGAAGACAGTGGCGTGACTGTTGTGTGTAAAGTAAAGATAAAATCTCCTGAGATCACCTCAGAGAAGGTTAAAGAAGTTAAGGAGGAGCCAGTGCAGATCTCGGAGATCAGGCAAGAGGCAGAGAACACGGAGAAATCACAATTGAACCCATGCTCTTATCATCAACAAGAGTTTTTAGAGGGCCAGCAGTTAGAGGTCTACATCACCGTCTTAAATGATGACCAGACATTCTGGTGTCAGTCCGCTAACTCAGAAGAACTCGATAAGATTGCATCAAGTGTCTCAGAGGTTGGAGATGCAACAGATTACAAACATATCGACCCAGGTGCTTTCTTCCCTGGCAGCCCATGCATCGCTCGCTTTTCAGACGATCAGCTTTGGTATCGTGCAGATGTCATCGAGAAAGCTGGAGACATGCTCTCTGTTGTCTTTGTGGACTATGGCAACAAGTCCCAAGTCAACATTACAGATGTGAGAGAAGTGCCTCCTCTCTTGGTGGAAATTCCACCACAAGCATTATTGTGTGAGCTTGAAGGCTTCGACACTTCATGTGGACATTGGGAGAGCCGTGCATATGACGAGTTGTCCACGCTTACAGCAGACAAAGTGTTACAGCTGACTCTCACTAGAGTCACAAGAGCTGAAGGAAAAACCAAATGCTTTGTGCGGATGGAGTGTGAAGGCAAGGTGATAAACGAAGTGATGAAAGCCTGGTGGAAGAGCTTCACAACAGAAGAACCTGACGCAGTTGAACTGACCTCGTCACATGAACCACCACTGCAGTGTGTCCCAACTGTGGATGAGGCAACGCTACCTGAGGATAAACTAGAACACCCTGATATCCAATCAGATAGTGCTGTTAGTGGCATTTATCTGGAGACAGATCAGAGTGAAGAGCACAGTGCTGATGAGCTTCCTGACCCTCACATAGTGAAGGAGGACTCAAAAGTAGAAAGTAGTCCCGAGAACAGGGAGGACTCTGAAGATTCTGCTCATACTGAGTCTTTTGTCGAGTCCCCAAAAGAGGAAAGCAGTTCCACTGAGGGGGTGGACACAGTCCCTGCTGTGGTGATACCACATAGAGACATTTTGCCATGCAGTTGTAGCATAGATGAAACCACGTTCCCTCCACTTGATAACAAATATGGCCAAGATGTTGTGAGCTCAAGCTGTAGCATAAATGTGGTGGAAACTGACAACGGCATTGAAGAGCCGAGTGCTTCGGTGCACACTGTTGGACCCGAGGACTTGAGTTCTCCGCTGGATGAGAACCTCGTAGAGACCGTGGATGAGTCAGAGAGAACTGGGGAGGAGTCTCTAGCCGGAGAGATGGATACCTCTAACTTCAGCTTTGATGTCATGGCTTTTTCTGGTGAGCAACACATTCATTTCTCATTTTTCCAAGCACAAAATATAAAACATTTCTTCCTCATTAAATAAGCAACTAAAAGTATAGTATAAATTTCAATCCGGAAAATCCCAGTTTGAAAGCTTTTTTTGCAAACATCAAAGCTGCTTAAGACTTTTGTCAGTTATGTGAGTTAATTTTTCCTTCCCATTTCCAGATCCTGCTAAGGAAAGAGATGACAGAGAGGTTGCTGTTGTAACGAGTACTCCTCTGTCCTGTACAACAACAGTGAAACTGGTACATTTTGATTTAGATTTTGACACCGCATTGATCTAAACTGCTGATAATTTTAAGAAATTTCAGAGAAATTATTGCTACTCTATGATTTAGGGGAATACAAATAGGTAGATAGACCTGATGAAATCTGATGGGGTACCATCTTTTTTTTATTAAGGTTCCCCGCAAAACTGTGAGTCCCAGTGAGGGCACTGATCTGGATGGAACAACTGATACAAGTTTTGAAGTCTCCAAAGAGGTACAAGAAAGAACAACAGAACAAGCAAAACTAATGATTTTTTAAAATGTCATGTAGAGGTTTGTTTTAAAATGTAGAGAGTTGAGCTGTCCTTCATTTTCCATACGGCAGTAATTAAGATGTGGTCTTTGTAATTATTCACAAGGACATCACTTTATTCTGTTAAATTGTGTCTTTGTCCTCTTGTAGGTTCAGGCTGTGTTGGTGCTGCCTTCTGTTGAGCCTCCTGTGCAGCAGTTGTGTGGTTAGTGAATCCCTTTTTTTGTCACACAGCACTCTAGAACAAAGATTCTGGCTTTGATGGGGAGAGATGTGAGGCAGAGGTGCTACCTGAGGTGAAAAGGACAGATACCAATGTTGTAAAAACAGCAAGAAGTTACTTATGGAATTTTGGCCTGCTGCTAAGAACACAGTATAGCACTTGGAGCTGTAACGGTAGCTGTGACACACACTGTAGCTCCTGGAGGCATTAAGGCTTATGGCATCCAAATCTGTACTCTGTTTTAGGGTCATACTTCAGTCAAAGCTGAACAGATGGACATCACACACATATTTGATAGTGTGACTTAGACTTATCTGACAAAGAAACACCTCCAATAATCCACCTGGAAATCAAAGAAAAAATACACTTCTTTTAACTCCAAATCATGCCAGTGAAAGTTTTTTTTTCTGTTGCCACGTGCCAAGTAATCCAGCGATATTTGGCAGTACATCCATCCATATACAGCCAACAGGAACAAAAGCACAAAAGCTAACTTGACACTTTTACTGATGAGTAGATGCAAAATTATGAACGGATATAGGCTGTGTATTCTCAGCGGGAAAAAAAATTTGATTGTCCACACAGAGTCTGCCATAGAGCAGGAAGCTGAAGCTGGAGATGACATTGCACAAGAGGAGGTGCCATGTGTGACCACACAAGCTGAGGTAAGATTATGGAATCACAGTACTTGTGTAGAGGTTAGGTCTTGATTGGCTACTGTATAGATGATTGCTTAAAGTAACCATAAGACAAAGCATTCTGGTCCGTCTATGATAATCTGATCTGTTGCAGGATGACTCTATTGATGAAGAGGTCTCAGATCATCATGAGGATACACATTCAGGTGTGTTGGCTTTCTGGCACATCATGTGACATACTGTCTTGTTGGTTTGAACATTTTTTCAGGTGTTACATATATTCAGCATTTACACGCTACATTTTTAGGTAAACCTAAAGTGCTAAACTTTTTCCTAGTTTTTCTGACAGTGAGAGTAATGACACAAAAATTGTCAAAATGCATTGTGTATGGCTGGATGTCAGTAGTTTTCTTCCTTACACTGTAATACTTCCCCTGAACGCAGAGTTTCTTGTTGATCTGAGACATCAATTTTTTTGTTTAACTTTTGATACCCGCATCATGCAGAAATGAACCTTATGTGGAAGCAGGTTAAGCAAGTAGTGTAAAACACAAATAAAGGCAAGATTAATTTTAGTATTATGAAAGCAAGTAAACAATCAAAATCTGATGTGTCCATTAAAAGAGGCCTCTTTGTTATGCTGCCTTCCTCTCATCAGCATAGAAACCCTCAACAGCCTTTGGGCAATGTAAAAGTTGTGTCCCTAATAGCTTGTGTTTGTGTTTACAGCCTTGCTGGCAGACATGGACACAGCGACTAGTGAACTGCACACTGCAGCAGTTCCCTCTTCAGAAACGGTAACTATAACGCTTTAGCTGGACGCTCTTGTGTCACTATTTACTGGATGTACAGAGTGCTGTACTGTTTCAGAAACATGCCAATTTAACAAAAACACTGCCTCATTGTGTTTAGAATAAAGATGACACGGTTTGTGAATCAAGGGATTTTTTTTACAGTGTATCTGCTAAGGTTTCAGAATGTACTGATGTATTTGAATCAACAGAATTCTAACATAAACTAGAAACTTTTTATCAATGAGATGTGAATTTTGTCTTTATTGCTGCTCAGAGTGATGAGGTTGGAGAGGTGACCACTAGTGATGAAGAGACCTGTTCAACGGATGTCTGCACAGGTATCGAAACTTCAATGCACTTGTGTTCATTGTGGATGTTTTCACTTCTGTCATAGCACCACTTTACAGTAACTGGCTACAGATGTTGTCTTATTTCTCACTGCAGATCCAGATGAGTTACATGATGAGAGCAAAGCGACGCATGTAAGAGAAGATCGTCTGAGCAGCATGACAGCAGAGGATATTTGCGTCACTGTGAGTTTCCCCATATCAAGGGCATGCATCTACATGGTTTTTAAATTGGTAGTCAGCCTCAGTGGTGGATGTGTAGGGATAACCTTAAGAGACTGTCACAGTTTAATTGATCTAATTAACTAGTTTTTTCCTAAATGTTCCCCAGGGAGAAGCTGTTCCTCAGGAAAAAGATGACTTGCAATACACACTAGCTGAAGAATCTATTGAGGTATAAGATACTGTTGTTTTACAGAGTTATATAAATGCTGCAGTGGGAAACTCCTCTCCCCGTTTTTTTACAATGAGTCTGATTACACAAACAGTATTGACTGGTGCACATGACATAGTCACCGTCGATTACGTGGACTGTTATCCATCCTCTGAATGGCTAGGTTTTTATTTGCAGCACATACGTGTTTCTTGGACACTTTGGAGGTTCTTCCGCCTTAAGCTTCACCACGCTCTTAGTCGCTGTAGCTTCTTCCATCTCTGTCACTACAGTTACTCCCCTCCTTAGCTCTGGCAAACCAGTTATTGGGGGTTGATGTAAAATACATAGCTAATGCTGTGCCAGTGAGGGAATATCGCCACAGAAGGACTTTAATATAGTGCAACATAGACAGAGAGATTTAGCTGATGCTGACAGACTTAATCAGCAGCGATGTTCATCTGTATGTAAAAGTCCCACACTCCACTTTAACAACTGTCAATGATATTTTTGAAGTTAATTTAATTGTATTTTTTGACACTAAAGTGGTGCAATTTCTTGAATTGCAGGTCAACAATGAATCACTTGGTGAGTCATTTTGATACCAATTACCCAACACATAAGATGGACAATAATAGATAGAGCAAACGGAATGTTAGGGACATTAACACAGACCACTGGTTACTAGGGTTTGGTCAGAATGGTCTCTGCTGTTTGTTCTGTTGTCTCACATTACACACTGTGAGGATGTACAGTAGATCTGGAGTGTGATTATCTTCACAGAACCTCCTTCGGGAAACTCATCAGAAGGTGGAGATATTGCGCTACAGGATGAGGTGCCAGACACTACCCTTTCTGATGAGGTGTGAAATTCATTCTGAAAGCCGTGTGAACCCATTTTCAGCAGAATCATGCAACTGACTGTTGTTGCTTTGAAGATTTTAGATTTGAAGATTAGCTAAATGTTTTTGAGGAAGCGGAGCCTTATCAGTGTGAACTTGTGTTTTAGGATAACTCGACGACTGAAGATGAGACCTTGGCTTTTGATGAGGATGAAGTTTCTGGTTTGTCTTCTTGATTAAGTGTTTCCTAAGTTGGATTGTTGATTGTTCATCCGTCCACATCCTTTAAAGTGTGTTTCACTGTTGTGTATTTGCAGTGTTGCCATCTGATACTGAGCGACAAACCTGCACCGATTTGTGTCCAGATTTGGTAATAGACATCTAATCACATTCTAAAATTAAACTGACAGGCCTCTTAGTGATTGCTGTATGTGTTCATTGCTGTTTAGGATACCCTTGTTGAAGAGCTGACTTATCGTGTTGGAGACATCTGTTTGGCAGACATCTGTCAAGGTATCACGAACATTTTCAAGCCATGCCTTGATGTTAAATTGCACAAAGATCTACATGTCTGACTGCAAACAACTGAATTATATGAATACAGAAGCAGATAATTACCTACTTGTTTTGTGATCGTGATCATACTGGAGTCTCCGTGTTTTATCAGACCAACAAGAAGAAGCTCTAATAGTGACAGAGGACAGTGAGCAGCAGGTGACCACAGCTCCCCAACAAAAACAGGTAAGAATATATGAAAACAAATGCCTCCTGATGGTTGACTTCTTTTTGAAACAACTCAATAACTTGATGTCCAAATGTGGATGAAAAATTTTGATGCCTCAGGTTTTAAATCTTGAAGATGGAGATGTCTGGAGGTAAAAAAAAAAAAAAAGTATTTATTATGAGTATCATGTCACTGTAGATTCACTGACATTAAATGCTATGAACTAAGTGTCCAGATGTATAGAAAACAAGTCTTACATTGGGTGTCATTATGGTGCACATTGCTTACACACATGCACTTTATTGGGCAAAAGGAACTCAACAGCTCTACAGTGCACACACAGGGTGCTTTTCATTATACCAACTTGAGCTTCCTCTCTTCTCCTGTGTCCTCCTTGAAGTCCCCCCACCATCATGGATGATCCTCTAATTACTTAAACACATTTGGAGGAGAGAAGAGCAGAGGTCTATAATCACATGGAATCATTTATAAATGTCCATCTTTTGTGGGTGTCCTTTAGATTTGAACCATGAAATAACTGTGCTGCGTGACATAGGTATCTGGTGTCATTAAAGACTGATGCATTATGGAACAAATGATTTCTCATTTTGCAGCTTCAGCTCCAACATCCTCCCATCTGTCCCCTCTCTGATCCTTTCTGGAAGGAGCTAAGAGACATTTATCATAATGAAAAGCACACAGACTGTATCTGACTGTCAGTGTGGTGGACGTCAAACAAGCATCACATCTTTCACTCGCTTCAGTTAATCCCTCAGAGATGTACTTGAGTGCACAACTCGAGCATTTAGAAGACACTCAGTAGTTTCTGTTGATCTACTGTGAAAGAATTAACGTGAAAATGCTGAAAAACAAAACTTGTTGGATCAGTTCACGTCACTGTATTAACTTGTGAACCTGATGCATGTTCCAGGACTTCGAGGACACAGTGCTGACGGAAGAAACGTCGTCTTCTGCTGAGGACAGTTTTGGTAAGTGTTTGAACCAGAATTTAGAATTATAAATGGAAATAGGGTTTCCTGTGCTTTTTTGTGCTGTCTCAAATTAGGAATTACAGTTCAACACAGCTGTAACTGGATGCTTTTTTTATTTGGCAAACATGCCTCCTCCTCGCTTTTTAGCTCCTTGTGTGCATTAAAACATCTGTCCTGTTTTTTTCTGAATGACAGTAATAAGACAAGAAAAGCTTTTTTACTGATAAAGTAGAGGTAGACAAAGTTATTCAGTGATGTATTTATTTATTATTGGTACTAGTTCATACTCTGGTAGCTGCAAAACTCTGCACCAGTGTTCCTTTTTTCTCTCATTCTCATCTCAATAAATTTAATGCATCTTTTGCAGGGTCACATCTATGATGTGTAATGTACACACATGGACAAAATAGTTGGTACCCCTCGGTTAATGAAAGAAAAACCCACAATGGTCACAAAAATAACTTGAATCTGACAAAAGTAATAATAAATAAAAATTCTATGAAAATTAACCAATGAAATCAGACATGTCACCAAACAGCACAGTGACTACTTGTAACCCTATAAATAGGCCGACTGACTGATTTCAAGTTTGTGGACACCTGTGATGCTAATTGGAGGACACACCTTGATTGAACATGTCCCTATGGTCACATTATTTTCAGTCTTTTCTAGGGGTATCATCATTTTTGTCCAGGCCTGTTTCATGAGTTAATTGTTTTTGAATAATTCTGTTAAACCACGGTTCAAAAGCAATGTCTGATTTTCTTTGGTTAATTTTCAGAGAATTTTTATTTATTATTACTTTAGTCAGATTCAAGTTATTTCTGTGACCATTGTGGGTTTTTCTTTCATTAACCGAGGGGTACCAA